TTGTCAAAAAGCCTGTGTTTTCAGGGTTATTAATGAAGTTTGTGTACTCAGACCAGTAATATTTGGGGTCACAAGTTTTTGCCGTGGATATTTTGTGGGTCAGAAGATAAAAAGTTTGGGAACCACTGCTCTAATATAAGTAACTGTTAACTTTCTATCATGAGTGAAAATAACYGTATCATCTGCATACAGTGACATATCGCATTGACTGTACAGAKAAGTTGGATCAGTTCTAAACCTAGGTGTCCCACAGGGCTTTGTACTGGACTACATTCTGTTTGACGGAGAGCGTGTGGTTTTGTTGGGCTACTTAGCCTAGCATGTGGGTAAGTAAAGCATGGCTGCCCACCAGCTCTATAATACACTCGGGGAAACTCTTAGATGGTCTCCAAGTGACGTCAGGTTGCTAAATTTTGTTTTACAAATGTAATTTTCCTGCTTTAAAAATCTTAAGAGGTTGGTTCTACTTACTGTATAAAGTTCATTCAGAAGCTTCATGAGGTCTTCCTGAATCTGCATGAGAATCTCCTTACTCTGAGAGGGACAAACAAAAACAGGAAATATCAACAGGAGCTGAATTAAGGCCGCCAAGCAGTGAAAAAATGGTTTAAAACATGGCTGATCACCAGACAGTTTTCAGTCGGCAGGATTTTTATCAGCAGATTTCAACAAAACAACCTGAAGGAAATGACTTCATCAAGATTATCGTCCAAAAACGAGCCAAAAAATATAAATCAGTAAATATAAAGTTTGTCTTTTTAATTATCAGCACATTCATTTGGTTCTGCTCATATAAGATGAAAAGGTAAAGCTTAGCAGAAAACAAAGAGCGTTTAAAGGAATAAACAAGATTCTTATATTGTTAAATGTTTTTAAACATAGTTTCATTTTGCTGTTAATTGTAGGTAAACTGCTGGATCTTTAAAATTATTTCTGTTTTATCATCTGCTGACTTTAATGCTAGTTTTGGGGATGACTCTCAGCTACTACCATGCCGAGTTAACCAAAATTTCCATTTAAGTATAGTAACAAAGTATTTGTACTTAGTTACTCTTTAAATCTGTCCGATGGTTACTTAGAGTTGTATTCAAGACGAGATCAGGATCTCATAATTATGAGATCAGGAGTCCTAATTTTTTTAATTTGGTGAATGCAAAGCTCTTCTGTAAATCTGTCCTGTGGGTTATAAGATATTTTGCTGACAGACATATGAAGACACAGTTTCAGAATAGCTTCTGATTGTGGTTTGAACGGCTTGAATATTTGCTAACATGTTTTATAAAGAGTTTTTCTAATACCTGAAGCTRCCGGTGCTCCCTGTCCTCACATCTCTACGTGTGTCCTGTTTTCATTAAACCACACAGCTGATTTTAATGAGAAGTAAAGTGTGTGTTCCCCAACTTTAACAAATCAAACACACAACTTTAACAAATCAAACATACACAACTTTAACAAATCAAACACACACAACTTTAACAAATCAAACACACACGACTTTAACAAATCAAACACACACACAACTTTAACAAATCAAACACACACACAACTTTAACAAATCAAACACACACAACTTTAACAAATCAAACAC